ATTCACCTTCCCAAAGGGCCTCAAATGTAAGCCTACATCAAATGCCTTGGGAAGTAGTGCTGCCCTGGGTAAAGAGGGTGGCTGCTGGAAGACCCTATATCACACAAGCAGGAGAACCCAGTCATGGCTGTCAGACAATGTCTGCAACTACATCACCCTTTACATCTGGCCACCTAACTCTTCAGACAGCAACCCCCTTGATTATTATATGTAGGGTGCAGTTGAGTGAGAGACCAACAAAATTCTTTTAACATTAAAAATGAACTGAAGGTGAGGATTATGGCAGCAGCCTTCACCAACTTAAACAGAAGAGTTGCAGAAGATGCTGAAGTTGTCTGGAGGCTGTGTTTGAAGCCAATGATGATTTTATTGAATAAATTTAGTATTTGAAGAGATTTTTGTATAATTTTTGTAAATATATCTGTTAAAATGAGATGTCAGTGTTATTTTAGTTTTGTGTAATTTAGATGACAATTATCCATCACACCCTGTATATGTTACAACTAATATTATCTTTTTGTTGTAAGAAGCAAGAAAGAATATTTCTGCTTCTTGATTATAGATAAAAATGCCAAATCTGATTTGAGACACTTGGCTCTCACTGCCTAAAATCTCTAGGATTTAAAATGTTTTAACTTACTTTACTACCATCCCTTTGTGTTGACATCATTCTGATCCCTTAGAACCCAATATACTGAAATAATTTATAGGTGATTACATGGTCAACTAGTATTATACAGCCACCACATGTAACATAACAAGTTGAATTCAAACAGGCTGATGTAATGTAAACAAAAAAAAAATATGAATGGCTGCTTAGAAAATTCCTAATCTAAAAGAGAGAAAACTTTGAAAATTGAATTCTTAGAATGTAAATTAACAATGTACAATTACATAGAAATTATCAGACTATTTCCTAGACATGTTTTCAACACTAAAATGTATATTTGTACCTTTTTTTTTTTTTTTTTTTTACTAATCCATGAATTGTAAACAGTTATGAGTTACCTCACTTTTATGGTTTTCAGTTGTGTATATGGCCCATTTTGTAAATGATCACTATGAGGTCAATTTTCTAACTCATGGTCCATTGCATGTAATTATTAAATTATAAAGTTTGTTGTAATATTATAGTTAACAAATGTTTTGCATTTGGCTGTTACTAACAGTGAAAAAGTATTGATATTTTCTTTTCCTTTTGGAAAATCTGACCTCATAGAAAAATGGATTCATTAACCATATTGATTGGTTTCCTACAAAAAAAATTTAGTATGAAACATTTTGAAGAGAAATTTATTTTGAAAGGAGAATGAAGTAAACTGAATTGGGATTTACATCCAATACCTAAAATACATTCAGAAAAAATAAGAAAACCATCTCTTTTGCTGAATGCAAGGGAATTCAGAAAGCCTTCAAAACAACAGCTGGTCCAAATTGATGAATTACATATTATTATTTCAGTTGATAAGATAAAGGATTTTACTCAATTGGAAGAAGCAAAGTGTTGTCCTAATAGTTTTGAATTAAAAAAAAGAAGATTATATTCTAATTATAGAACTGTCTTTAACCCTGAAACACATTTTCCATCTATAAAAGAATGTATTCACATTGACCAAAACCTTCATGTCCAGCTCCAGTGCAATAGAACATCTATACCATTACAACAGTGCTTTATACATGGGCATAATGCTAAACTCACAAGAATTAGCATGTTAGAAAATTTTCAAAATTACATACAAAACATGAGGGAAGAACAACGATACTCAGTTTTAAAAGAATTACAAAAAGACAACATTACAAACCAAGAGGTTGTCCTTCATTTTCTGCAAAACTAATATGTTATGTCTTACTACTGTGCTATATGTCACAACAAGCCTACAAATTACTTCTGGAGAAATTTCCATTACCATCATTTTCTTTATTAGAGAAAATTCAAAAATTAAACATTTTCAATGTGAAGTGTGTTCACTGGTCATGGTAGGCAATGATAGTGATGATGCTACAAACTGAACAGTGCTGACTATTGCAATTTTATGAACATGACTTTCTTTGCAATGGTATAGGTGCCAGTCTTGCAGTTTCAAAGTGAAGTGTGTATTTATGCATGACAATGCTCCTTCTCATGTAACTAAGCTTACCTGTGAATTCTTTGAGTATAAAAGATTTACAGAAGAGAATCTAATGGAATGGCCACCATCAAGTCCTGATCTGAATTGATCAAAAATCTATGGTCAATTCTGAAGATGAAACTATATAAAGGTGGCAAACAATACAACAGCAAAGCATACTTATGGGAAGTAATTAAAACTACCATGTCCAGAAATGGAACCTGCTGAAGTAAAAAAAAATGAACAAACTCGATGGATTACTGGCTGTTATTGAGAAGAAGGGTCACTACTTTAAAATGTAAAAGATTCAAAGACTTATCATATGTGTTTGTTATTTGTTCTATTATAGGTGTTGATCAATTTTTCATGATTTTATTACATTTTTATTGAAGGAAAAATTGATTTTTTTTATTTGTCCTGATGGCAGTTTTTTTAGAATACATGAACTAACATCAATTATTTCACTAAAACTTATTAATACTACCTAAAATTTTAACTCAGGTTTTGTTTTGATACCTAAATTGATTGTTTAAAATTTGACAATTTTCTTTCAAACCAAATTTTAATTAGTGAAGTTTACATAATTTGCTTAATAACTTCAGACATGGTGTAGTTTGAAGCAACTTTTTATTTATTTTTGACTCTTACCTACTTGCAGTATAACTCTACAGTTATAAGTCCCAGAAAGTGTTTGAATGATATAAAGAGAAATATCATAATAAGCTTTGCTTAGTGATTATTAAAATATATTTTATGAAAAACAGTCAGTCCATTTTCATAAATTTCAAATATCTCAAAAACTAACCATTAAAAATGGCAGAAAATTTAATTAAATATTTTACTAAGGCTGGAAATAGACAAATTTAAATTTGACAAATATTGTTTCAGAACTTTTTGAGTTATTGAGGTTTATTTGATTTGCATAATAACTGTATATTCTGGCATAATATATGATGACATCATCACAAATAATGAAGGAAGTCACACAAACAGTGAGATTTAAGAGCAGATTATTTATGGGGTAGATTTGGGCAGGTTGAATGCTAAAGTGTTAAAACAGATTTGAGCTGAATACAATGAAGCTTCTACACATACATATGGATATAGTAATTAAGTTTAACTAAGTTAATTAGAAGATTAGTTAATTAATTTTAGTCTAGCAAAAGGTCAAAATAGCTAAACACCAAATGAGAATAAAAATCAAGAGAAAATATACTTTCATGAATATAGATTTTCTTTTAGAAAACAAGCTATATTCAAGTAAAAAGAAAAGCATAGCTTAAAAGTCTAGTTTGGTAACCATTATTTACAAATAGGTGTTCAAGACAAGTATAGGAGAAAAAAAAATTCAAATTTGATACACACACACACTTAAAGAAGGAAAAACACCAAATACAAAAACTACATCACCATATTTGTTTCATGCACTTCAATGTAATTATAAAACTTTAAGTATAATTTAAGCAATGTAAAACAAATTGAGAAAACAATAACATTGTTACTTTCAAACTTATTTGAGTTTTAAAAAATGAATGTTTAAACCTTCATTTCAAGTAACTGTCTGTTGATTACATTTGTTTTTTTAACTTTTTGCTTTCTAACTTGAACAAAATTGTTCCTGAAGAGACTTTAAATATACCAAAACATGTCAAATGAGTGCAAAATTATTTTTTATTTTACTTTCTGAAAACAGATCTGTAGCTTCAAATGCTGTTTGTACATAAGTGTATGAGAATAAGAGAGGTACATTTAGACAGAAAGTTCTATTTGGGCCATGTCCTACCAAATGTTATAGGAAAATAATAATAATAATAATGAGTCACATTTTAATATTTCTTAAACTAATAGACACAGTTGTCTCTGTAAAATTCTCTGGAATCTTAATTTTTTAAGAGATTTTTTTTGTCTTCAGAAATATTAATCAATGGTCATCTGAGATTTGATAGTTAAATGAATTTAGAAGAAGAGCCTTATTTTTTACACATACAGAAAAGGTGAATTGAATTATATGAATCAAATGTGTTTATTATTGGAAATCATTAAAAAATATAACTTAAAAAAATGCTAATTTGTTTGACAATTTTCTGACAAATATCAAAATAATGGTGTAAATTCAACACAAAAATTAAAGATACAGTTTGTTAATGAACCAAAAATACATCCTTATTATTGCGGTAATTCTGCTTGGCTTACAGTGTTTGTTAGAAATCGAGCAATTACTTTTTGCTTTCTGTTTTGTCATTTGATGAATTAAATTTTTTTTCAGTTTCTATTTTTTTCCCAAAGTTAATTTTCATAACTGAAACTAAAAGATTTTATAATTAGACTGAAAATTTTTTAATTACATATTAAGTCATATGTGAATAACTTTCAAATACAAGCATTTTTAACATTTTTTTAACTTTATGTATTATAACATTTTTATACATTTATTGCAATTAAAATATAAATTGAAGTATAACTTATACAATTCTTTATTGCTTATTAGAGTTATTTTTATTTTCTTAGGTGATACTAAATAGCTATTGTCAGAAATTTCTCCAAATATACAAGGTGTCACAGCTATTTTTTTTTTGTTTCTTTTCCTACTTTCATAAACCATGCACTAAAGCAATTGATGATGGCAGATAGTTCTTTCAGTCTATATACTTTCATATCAGTGAATAGAACAACATGAGAAGTAAAAACAGCAATGAGAAAAGACAACAATAGCAAAAATGTTTACAGACTACATTCCAGTTTGTTTCATTTTAATTTAAAAATGATAGCTAAAAACATAAACACAATACATAATTCCTGAGAGTTTACTGTCTGCATTGTTTCCATTCTTAATTATTTAAATCAAATTATTGTTATTCAATAAGACTTAGAAGAACATAAGCTGAAACTTAC